GCTTTCGGGGCAGTGGGGATTGGGTTGGGGGCGTGGGTGGGGGAGGGGTTCAGGGAGGAGGGTGGTGTACGGGCTGTAGGCTGCGTGCTTTCAGGTGCCGCAATCAGCTGTGGCCACCCAGTGTCGCTTGGGAGACCAGCTGTGGGCATACGTGCATGTGCGTGCTGCCTCGCTCCTACACAGAATGACCCTAGAGACCCGGGGGTGCGCCCACTGGTCTGGTATTAGCAGCAAGATTTGGTGCAGGGGCACGCCCAGATGCAGGGCGGGTTGGTCGTTGCAGGCACGGGGGCCCAGTGCGTACGAGAAGGGGTGCTGCAGCAGCGGCGGCAGCAGCGGCACTAAGGTCCTGGCAGCGCGTCGCAGGTCCCATTATCTGGAGAACCTCATGCTCTAACACCTGGGCACGCGTGCTGGTCGAAGAGAGCACCAAGACAACGGCCTGCTGGGCCCCTTGCAATCACCTTGGCTTCTCCTTCGCTCGCCCTCTTCACCCTCCCAAATCAAGTGTTTTCTGTCACTTTCGAGCAAAGAGGGTGGTCGACTATCTGGTGACACTGCCACTGCAGCGATCTGGCAGGAAATTTAGGATGGACCTGGCAAGAACGGACCTGAACTACACATATGCCAACGTGAGTCAAGAAGCAGCTTTCGCAACGCAACCTCGTGCACGGCCCCGTACGAACCTGCACGTACGGTATTTGCACCCCCTTCCGGTGTTTGTGCTTCTCTTGCTTCGCAGCTCACGCTGGTAGCAATACACATTACATCAGATATTACTTGGCATGGAGGGTGGGAGCGGCCATGATCGTGGCGGCTTCGCGAGAGGGGTGCTGGTGATGAGCTGGGGGACCATCCTCGCTCTGTCGGTGCGCTGGTGGCCAGCCGGCCATGCACATCACATATGCCTGTGATTATACGCATCCAAGATGCCTACCAAGCTGTGTGAATTTGATTGCGGCCTGCTACCTGCTGCATGGTGAGCTGCGTTCAAACGTCATGGCAAGGCGAGCTCATGACTCAAGCACTGCTACAAAACTGGCCCATGTGCTCAAGAATGGCATGAGAAGCAGGTAGCTTTAGGTTGACTGCAGATTTCTTCACGCACGCTCTTCGAATGAATACTCTCTCAGCCCCATGGTCCTTGAAGCGGGCTCCTCAACCCACCCCATACGAACGACTGAGCAGGATCGACAGCATTACCTGTTGCGTCACCCCAAGTAGATTTGAAAGGGGCAGGATACCATGTCAAAGCCGTCCTCAGTGCCGCGTCAGCAGGAGCTTGCAAGGTACTGCCAGGTCAGCTCCAAGTGAGCAGTTTTTGCGCTGCCATTTGGGCTGCCATTTATGCCTTACAAATTCACCGTAGTATCAAAAGTACTTGAAATACATGTACCTCAAACTCAAGCAGTAACCGTTCAACGCGCAGGACGTCCCGGACTAGACCTTTGTTTCGTGCCTCGCACCGAGCTGTCAAGCGACGGATCGTGCAGGTTGCATCGATTATAATATTCTAAGCAACATTATTGTACCGTAGTCGACCAGCAAGGCACTCAAAGAGCATGGCGGCGCCGCGCATGACACCGCTCCAGCCGGCGCTGGCAAGCGCAGTGCTGCTCCTCCTGGCACTGGCGACGACGCCCTTGGCGGCTTGGGCCGCGCAATCGCCACAGCCTATTCTCATTCTTACAACAGAGGGTGCGATTCGCGGTCGCCTCAATCAAACACCTAAGCACATACGGGCGCCCGCGTGCTCGCGCCGGGTTGCTCTCACCCATTCTGATGTTTGCAAGCGCTCATCCCCCCCCCATCCCCCCCCCTTCGAACCCCCTTTCTCAACCAATCTCAGGGTACACAAACATAGGTAATCTCCCTTGCTGACGCACCCTGAACGTCCTGAGCCGACCACGCGTGGTTGGGGGGAGATTCGTCGCCCGCAATACCAGCACAGCAGCCTGCGTTGCGCAGACTGCAGCCCCACTTCCAGACCGACCGCACACGCCAACCACGCACCCAGGCCGCCTCCCCGAACCCCACACCCCCTCAGATTTCCTGCTCAGGGTCACCTCCAACTACTCGATCCCCACCGCCGTCGTCGCCTACAGCCGCGGCATGGACGCCGCCGCCCGCCCCAACCTCACGACGCTGCTGTGGGCGGCTGACGGCTCGCCCCGCTTCGGGGGCATCATATCCTACCCCAACATTGAGGCGGCCGGCTACCTGAACCGCAGCGAGGTGCAGCAGCTCTGGGACTTCCAGAGCCGCACTGGGGCGCGCAGCGTCAAGTTCGGCGCCTGGTGAGCGCCGGCTGCGCCGTCCGGGGGACGGAGTGGGCGCCAGCGAGGCACGCGCACTGGCGGGCGGGCGCGGGCTCTGCCCCTGTCCGACCGTGCCTGCTTCCGCGCCTCTGCTCGGCGCGTGCAATTTGCACTTGCCATTTTGCAATCACGCGTTGCTTACCGGCGCCTTTCGCTCGCCGCCTTGACCCGCCGCCGCCGCCCGCGCAGGCCCACCTACTTTGGCTGGGCGCCCGCCATGGCCCAGTGCTCCTCTGGCAGCGACACCATCGGCTTCGCGGACGGCGCGGCCGCGGCAGCGGCGGCGGCGACGCCAGCGACCAACTTCACGCTGCTGTTCACGCACGACGCGCCCTACGGGCTGCAGGGCATCGAGCTGTCGACCGCTTGGCTGGACAGCCGCGGCCTGTACAGGTGGGTTGTCGCCCTGCACCTTCCACCTCCAATACATGCCCTTTCGCCGCACTGGGCAGTGCCCCCCGGCCCAATCAGAGACCAGCTTGAATTTTTCGGCCGCAACGAGTCAGGCTTGTCTCGCATGCACTTGAACTATACAGGCGGCTGCTTGTGTACAGTGCCACACACACCATGCGGGCACGACGACCTCGCACACTGTATGTAGGCTTGGCCGGCGCGGCCGCCACCTGCGCCTTTTGGCCAATCATTGAATTACTGCCCGTGCCTCCCCGCTGGACACCCGCCTGCCCCCGCAGGTGCCCCGGCAACGCGTCCGCCCCCCTGCCCACTTGCTCTATCTGGGGCCCCGGCAGCGACTTTGAGGTGGCGGGCCTCCACCCTAACTGCTCGTCCATGCCATTCATGCAGCTGGCGCCCGAGGGCGCCGCCAGCCCTGCCATCGCGGCCGTCCTGGTCAACTATACCGACGACAACCGCAACACCATGGCCTTCACGTTTGACTGCGCGGCGTGGAGCCCCTCCTGCGTGCTGCTCGGCCGCCTGTCGGTCGCGTGGCTGCTCGAGGGCCGCTCCCAGCCGGTCGCCACCGACAGCAGCGGCAACCCAACCGGCACTTCCGGGGCCGCCCAGCAGGCTGCGTCTGATCTGAGCGGCAAGATCGTGGCGGACCTGCTGGTGGACGCCTCGAAGGCAAACATCGCCAACGGAACGCCCGACAGCCCGCTGAAGAACGGCGCCGCGGCGCGCGCGGGGCCCGCCGCCGGGGCGCTCGCCGCGGCGAGCGCCGGGGCGGCGCTTTTGTCTGTGCTGCTGCTGTGAGCTCGCGGGTGCCCTCGTTGGCGTAAGCCGGAGAGATCAAGTGGTTCGCAGTGTGCTGAGATCCCCTTCGTTGCATCAAACTGCCGCATGCACCTGTATGCAGGACTATGCAGCTCTTCAGCTGCCCTCACTTTTCTCGTAACGCATGTCAAGAGTGAGTCTGCTTGGCGGCTTCCAAGGAGGGAAAGCATTCGTTTCTCCTGTGCTTTTCTTGCACTATACTTGATGTTTGACATTGTCGATTTGAATATGTGAGCATGTGTGGTGTAACACAACCCTCATCAGGGCTCCGGCTCTGAGCTGTGCTCACAGAAAAGCAATGACACCGATAACGCGTGGCATGGCAAACAGTCAAGTGGTAGAGAATGGTGGTTCAGGGCGGGGTAACGCAGTCGGCGGGTGGCAGCAGGAAACCCAAAAAAATGGGACAGCAAGGGCACGCCACCCGCCTAGGCGCTTGCTGCAGCCCAGGCAGGGTGCGCCCCTGCCCTGCGAGCTCACGCCTGCGCCCTCATGACCGCCCGCCTGCCGCATCCCCATGCTGCCGCGCCGACGGCGGCTCGCAGGGCCCTCTCGCTCGCTGCTGCCCGCCCTCTCAAGCGCCGCCACCCGCGCCGCCGGCGCCGCCGCCCTCGCCCTCGCACGGCCGCTTCGCGTCCGGCTGCCCGCCCTCCTCCGCCCGCCGCTTGCCGCTGCTGCCGCCGTGCCGCTGCCGCGCACCTGCCTCCCCCTCCCCCTCGCTCTCGCTGCTGCTGCTGGAGTCATCCGACGACGACGATGACGAAGACGATGAAGACGACGACGACGAGTCTGACGTGGCGCAGCCGACGTCGCCCGACCCGTCGATGACGTCAGCCTTAGTCGCGAGGTCGGGCCGCTCCGCCCTGAGGGCGGCGAGCCACTTGACGCTGAGCTTGGGGCGGCCCCGCCGCGTGTGGCGCCAGACCGCCTCAAAGTTTGCCGACCCGCTGCAGGGTGGGTGTGGGAGGGAGGGTGTGCACATTCAAGCAAACGAGGGTACTTGTATTTGCGTATGTGTGTGCGCGAGTGCATGTGCGCGCGCTTGCTGGATGTTTGCCTGGGAATAGCTGGGACCAGGGGTCCCCGCGCCACGTCACCGATCGCGCAAGCCAAACGCAGATCATGCGAGGCGCCCGCTCACCAGTAGTTATGTGTGACGGCCACAGTGAGGTCGAGGTTGAGCACCGCGTGGAACCAGCCGTGGGGCACAAACATGGTCTCGCCTGGGTGTGATCGAGTATAATATGGATTCAAAACTGAGTGAATACGGGGCGAATCACAGGACATCCCCACCCCCCCTCACGCACACATGCACACACACACACACACACACACACACACACACACACACACACACGCGTACACGTACACGTGCACGTACACACATACAGAGGCGTCAGATGCGGAGAGCAGGGCCGAGGAGGCCGGTGAGCGCAGGCAGCCCAAGCATGCGCAGCCATGCTGCACGCCGCATCCCTTCGGCACGGTCGCGCACCCACGGCCCGCACGCAGCCGCCCCCGCCCCCGCCTGTCGCCCACCGGGCGCCTGGATGCAGGTGACCGGCCGCGCGGTCGGCCAGCCGGGCGCCAGGCACCGGGGGAACACGCGTTGGAACCAGCAGACCGCCTCGCGCCCCAGCCCGGGCTCCTTGGGCAGCACGAGCTGCGGACGTTGCACAATCGTGACGAGAAGCGGCGGTGAGGGGGGATTCGCAGTTGTGGCAAGGGTTCTGCCGTAAGCTGCGTGCCTGCAGAAGCACACTGAGGGTCGGGGCTGTCCAAAACAGCAGAGTGGCGGCGGCGCGGGCGAAGCCGCCCGGGCGGCTGCCGCCCTTCCGCCCACCGCCCAGGCGCTTGCGCGCACGCCGCCCCCGCGCGAGCCGGCGCGCGGACCTGCTTGGGCGTGCCGGGCGGAAAGAGCGCCCAGCGCTTGCGGCCTGACAGCAGGGCGTTCCAGGCGTTGGTGGCCAGGGGGTCGATGTGGAGGCCACTGCCGCTGCGCGCCGGGCCGATGACGACCCACCTGGGGCGATGGCATGTTTGAGATTGGTGATAATTATGCTTTGAGAAACATTAAAACGCGAGGACTCCAGGCATTTCGAATGTCTAGAGTGGCGGTTTTTGAGGGGAAGAGGCGTTGGTGTGGTTGCCGCAGCAAGGGGGCGGGCCGTGCGGCGGCCGCGACGGCGGCCTGGCAAGGCGATCCGCGCCTCGCTCGTTTGCGCCGGCGGCGCAGGAAGCAGCGACCGCCGCGGGAACAGCTGACAAAGCACCGCTCTGACCCATGGGAGCCGCACTCCTGCACCTCCTCCCGTGGCGCTGCCACCCTGGGCGGGGCCCCTTTGACGCCGCTCGTCTGCAGCCGGTTGAACACCCAGCGTCACAACACGCCTGTGCGACATGGCGGCTGAATCCTCCCCGGAAACGCGCACACAAATGCCCTCACGCATTTACAAGCATGTGGAGCGCCCGATCAAGAGTGCGCACATGACACACCACGTGTGCGTGTGTGTGCGTGCGCACGCGCA